AAACCACAAGAATATTTTTTAATTAAAAAAAGTAAGCCAGACTCTAATCAGTACCATGACATATGCATTCTCCACCATCTGTTAAGCATCCGTGTAGAGAATTTTGAACTTTATCAAAAATAAACTCTGATAATTCCAACTGCTGCTGTTCCTTAATTCATTTATATTGTACTGTACAAATTCCATGACACCTTGCAGAACTATAAAATAATTATTTATGTTCCCAGCTCTCCAAGACAAAACAAATCCTCTCCAGTAGACAACATAGCAGTTCACTGTATAGAGGAGGTGTAGATACCGTTTCTGTCAATCAGGTGGCATTTTAAGGGCATATCTCTTTTAAAAGGTTTAAAAAGGTTAGAAGCTATTTGTTAATTCTAACCCCCAAACTGAATATTGGGGAGTTTGGAGAAAACTTTGTAGTACCTTACAAAATGAGTAAAGCCCACGTCTTTTTAACAAAGAATATTTTATAGCTGCTGCCAACAATTTCCTCGTCCTCTTCTGTCAGAATCTGGCCTGAGTATGCACTGGCGCCACTTGGAGCATTCCTTCTAGTGGCGCCAGTGCATACTCTCCCACTGACTTTCACCTGCTGCATTAGGAAGGAGCTTATTTTGAGTTTAGTGCTTTTTCCTGTGCTTTACTTCACAAAATGGTGGAATCGTCACTTTATTTATTTATTTATTTAATTTTAATATATTTTATTGATTTTTTTACAGAGAGGAAGGGAGAGGAATAGAGAGTTAGAAACATCGATGAGAGAGAAACATCGATAAGCTGCCTCCTGCACACCCCCTACTGGGATGTACCCACAACCATGGTACATGCCCTTGACCGGAATCTGAACCTGGGACCCTTCAGTCCACAGGCTGGCGCTCCAACCACTGAGCCAAACCAGTTAGGGCTTCACTTAATTTAATAGCACATACCTTTTACTGTGGATCATAACTGTGTCATTGTTATGCCAGTAACACATTCCCTATTCTTTAGGGAATGTTCATTGTGTGGCAGCCTTCTGAAGACTGTCATTGTGTCTCCTGCCGCCTCTTCAGCGTTGAGGAATATTGGTGTTGCTCAAAAATGCAGTGATTGTATTTCAGTCGAACAATAGAAAGTTTTTGTTTCTTTGAGTAAATTCTGACTTCATCAACAAGTGTAAACTTCTCCACATTAGTTTTTCTGCACACAAAAATTTTAGTTTCCCTAGTTACCTTTGAGCACTTGGTGAGTCTGAAGACCTGGAAAAAATTTTCACTGCAGCCCTAATCAGTTTGGCTCAGTGGATAGAGCGGCAGCCTGCGGACTGAAGGGTCCCGGGTTCGATTCTGGTCAAGGGCATGTACCTTGGTTGCGGGCACATCCCCAGTAGGGGGTGTGCAAGAGGCAGCTGATCGATGTTTCTCTCTCATCGATGTTTCTAACTCTCTATTCCTCTCCCTTCCTCTCTGTAAAAAATCAATAAAATATATTTAAAAAAAACAAACATGTAATAGTAAAAATATAGGCTCACTGTCTGTAGAGACAAGAGGCTACTTAACAACCTCGCTGATACCACACAGCTAAGATTTACAAAATATTATAGCTTTATTCTTTTGCTGCCACCAAAACTGGTCCTGACCCAGATCAGGATCCTGCTGGAGTTACTATGACTTTTGTGTTTACCAGAATGAACTAGAACAAGTCTGGATTGTTAGATGTAGAAAAGCCAACAAATTCGCTCAGTAGCCCTCCCTTATTAACCAGTCCTTCAGAGTGTGCAGGGCCTCTGGACACCTGAGGAGCACCCCGTGGCAGAGCTGGCTTGACTTTAGATGGCTGGTTTTCAGTCTGCAGTGAGAGATGTTTGAGTTACAGAAGGCGTCAGCATTTCCCCCAAATCTTGATTTAAAAAAATTTCACAGACATGCACAACTACACGCTTGGTATTCTAATATTCTGATAAACAGCGCAAGGAGTGCAGCGGCCGTGCGTTTCTGAGCAGCACTCTGAAACATACCAGACCCTCTATCACGGAAAATGTGCCCAGCTTGTATGATCTGACCCATGTCCAATCTACACAGCTCTCTTTTTCTTCTCCTGCCTTTTTTTGTTTTTTTCTCCTCTCAAGGACTAATGTCGGTGTGCAAGCATTTTGAACCCTCCCCTGTCCCAGCCCCCACAAGTTCCACAGGCTTGGTTGTGAATGCAGCGTGACTCACTGACTCCCACCTTCTGATGTTCGTTCTGATTGGTCATCACCTTGCTCCAGCCATATGGCTGCCAAGTACTCTAGCCTGCGTCCCTTTCTCCTTCTTCCCCCTACTATTCCCTTCTGCTGTGCACAGCCCTGGGAGTGGGTTCCGGGCTTTGTCTCTTGCTTGTAGTTTCCCCCAGTTGGGCAGTCAGTGAGAGAGAACACTGTATTTCCTACGGATGGCTGTAGGGGAAAAACACCCTTTCCTTTCATGCCTGGTGTAATCATTATTTAGTCTCCTCTGCTGTTCCCGTTCAAAGTTTATTTGTTGGCAGGTGTCACATTTGTGGTGTTTGTTTTCCTCCTGGTTTCTCTCCTCCTCCTGATTTGGGCTGTTTTTTTGTGGGCTTTTTTTTTTTAATAAAGGTTTTTTGAGTCCCTTTCTCTCACTGCTATGTTACACTTTTGTTAGTTTGTTATGTTTGATTAATGCTGATTAATATGTTTGGGGGGGATAAGAGCAACTCTAAATACTTATTTATTTGTTAAATGTCTGGCAGTCACCAGGCAGTGAACTCTATCTGTGATTCTCAGAATTATCCGTAACACCCCTGCTATTACTTTCCCCTCTCCTAAGACGTATCAGTTCAATTACTCTACCATTTATACTTGAGACTTGAACGTTAATTTTTATAAGCATTTGATATTTTTATTAATTTGCATTTTTATTATTCTGCAGATGGTTTCTACAGAGACATTGGACTCTGCATCCTTTTTTTCTTTTTTAATATTTAACTACAGAAAGAGGAAATGCTAGCAGAGTATATAGTACAGCAGTCTCCCCCCACCCATTGGCCTTTATATGATATTTTCATTGCCCCCAAAAATCAATAATAAAAATATTTAAAATTCTCTCAAGAATGTGTTTTGTATTGACTTTAAGTTTTTAAAAATCCATTTTGTAAATATTTTAATATTCAAACAATGTTAAGCCAGTAGCCTGCAGGTTTGGATTCTTTAGAGAATACAAATGAAGTTGGTTAGAATCATATGCAGGAATTTGAAAATCAACCTGGCTCTCTGATTTCACTTAATTCTTTATTTAAAGATTTTTATTCACTTTTTTCTCTACTCATACTCTATATTAGAAAATAGCAATTATTTTTGTCAGAAATAACAAACCTCAGTTGATGAACTCACTTGAAAGTATATGAGAGAGGAGTCGCTTATACTTTCAGCCATGAGGACAGGAAGAGTCAGAGCCCAAGTCTGGCCCCAGATGGTTATTATATATTCTCTGAGCCTTTTGCTGGTCTTTGGACCCATCACTTTACGTGTCATGTGAAGAGAATGAGGACCATGGACTTAGCTACAGAGTATAGTTGTGAGCAAAAGTCCTTTCCCTCATGCAGCTTACGTTCAGTTGAAATGTATTCTGTGGTAATGAAGGTTTCCAAGTACACATTTTCTTGGATTTGAACAGGTCTAGAAAATTCAGCAAATGTTAATTTAAAATTTTCATCCCATGTAACTAAATCCCTACTCTGCGTAAACAAACGTATGCATTTCTACAGATCTTGGCCCAGCAAAGAAGTCCAGCTCATGAGTTACCCTTTTCAGTGATTTAGAATGTCTGTCATTTATATTGCATATTTCTGAGATCAAGGTTTCTTTGTTTAAAAGTCTTTAATATTTGAATCTTTGATAGATAGATGATATTTGATTGATTAACAAAAAAAATTTTTTTAATATATTTTATTGATTTTTTACAGAGAGGAAGGGAGAGAGATAGAGAGTTAGAAACATCGATGAGAGAGAAACATCGATCAGCTGCCTCCTGCACACCTCCCACTGGGGATGTGCCCGCAACCCAGGTACATGCCCTTGACCGGAATCAAACCTGGGACCTTTCAGTCCGCAGGCCGACGCTCTATCCACTGAGCCAAACCGGTTCCGGCTGATTAACAAAAATTAATATGGCTAGTATCTGTGTAGTCAGATGCAAAAAGAAAAATGACCGTCAATGTGCCAATCATAGTTCTGAGTACTTTAAAACTAGCAGCTGGTTTGGTACTTGTAAGAATCCTAAGGATATTGTTAGTCGCCTCACTTTACAGAACAGGACATTGATCCATAGATAGGTTAAGGAACTTGCCCAACATCATGTGACTGCTAAGTAGCAAAACTGAAATTTGAATTGAGGCAGCCTTTCTCCAGAGTCGTGTCTTCACTGCTATGCTCTACTACACTGCCCTCCCAGCCTAGCATGCTCAGCTAATAACAGTCAAGAAAGCTGAGCTCTGCTGCATGACCTCCGTTAGCTTTTCTTCCCACCTGCGTGCCTCAGTTTCCCTTTATAAAATGTTTCTTATGCCATAGGTTCTCCTCATTTGTCGAATCTGTAAATTTTAGATGTAACAAATTTTAAAGATGTCAGAGGCATATAATTATTGCATATTTCTATACAGCTGGTAGGACAATACAGTAGGTCCTTGCGTTACGTCGGCGATCCGTTCCTACAACGCAATGTAAGTCGGAACCCACCTACATAAGCACCCACGTCACTCACATGGAGCACATACACAGCAGTAATGAAATGAAACAGTAAAAAAAATTTAAAAGATAACAATTCCTGATCTTTACTTGTGGTAAATAAATAATAAAAAACATAAAGCACATATGTACTATGTCGAAATGACGGAACTTTTTTTTTATAAATACTGTAAATGGGAGATGGCGACGTAACCACGAAATGACGAGAGTCTGACTGCCCGAGGACTGCCTGTATTCTGATGGCTCTTCTTTCTTTTTTCTCATTTGGTAGAAAAGAGTCGTTGAACAGCTTCGGAAGAACCTGATAGTAAAGCAAGAACAACCAGACAAGTTCCAAATACAGCCATTGCCACAATCTGAAAACAAACTACAAACAGCACAGCAGCAACCACTACAGCAGCTACAGCAACAACAGCAGTACCACCACCACCACGCCCAGTCGGCGGCACCCTCTTCCAACCTGACCGCTTCACAGGTAAAGTGTGGGAGGAGCACTGCAGGCTTTGGGTTGTGGATGGATGTGCTATTCGTCATGTAGAATGAGGTCCTGTTTCAGGCTATATTAAGCTCAACCAGCCCTACACAAAAGTTATTTTGGTTCCTTTTTTATATTATAACTGTGATGGGAACCACTTGAAATTGATTTGCAGAGGGAAATAACATTACTAAGGAGCAAAAGTTAAATCATTTTCCAACTGTCCAAAGAAGGAGGGAAAAGTAGTGAGTGACAAAGAAAAATTGCTTCTCAGTATAAGAACAGAAGTAACATCCTATTTTCAGTTTCTGGAAATATTTATTTGAGCTTTTTCTAAAAGTCTGTGTGATATCACCGCCTCTGGAATTGTTTTTCTGGAATTCTTAGCAATTAGGCGTAGAGATATTACAGGATCGGGTAGAAAGAGCATTTAGAAGGGTGATATATTTCCATTATCATAGAAACAAAATATTCATTTATAAGTCCACATTCATGAGAATATGAATCTGTTCTAATACTCAGAAGGAAATCTAAAATGGAAGCTGCAGGTCAAAACTATCACAAAGAAGTGGAAGCTTAATAACATTCTGATTTGGTGTAGCTGTGTAAATGATTTTACTGTAAAGGGCATTTAAGCTAGAATATAATGTAAGGATAGGGAGGCAATCAAGACACACACAAGGACATATTTGGGAACGATACTCAGTTAAGAAAATTATTCAAGTTTGATCTCCACACACGTAGATATAATATGGGCACAGCTTTTTAAAATATATTTTTTATTTATTTCAGACAGAGAAAGGGAGAGGGAGAGAGGGAAACATCAACAGTTGGAGAGAATCACTGATGGGCTGCCTCCCGCATACCCCCTACCGGGGCTTGAGCCTAAAACCTGGCCATGTGCCCTGACTGGGAATTGAACCATGACCTCCTGGTTCATAGGTCAGTGCTCAACCACTGAGCCACACTGGTGGCACAGCTTTTAAAATGAGCAGGGGTTTAAATGAGCAGGGACAATTGAGCAGGGGTTCTTGATCCTTGGAGATCACAGACCTCTTTAAGACTCTGTTGAAAGCTACGGATCCCCTCCCCAGAAAAATACACATTTATAATTAATGCACTCATTTTTGCACATGATTTCAAGGACTTAGATCTTTTGAATCTTAAGTATGGATATCTCTGACCCATCAACACCAAGTCTTCACTGTGTCTTTATATGTAAAGGAAAAGGTTTATGTACATTTATTTTGCAAGTGAAGAATGTGTTTCTTATAAAAATACTAAAGATTACTAAAGATTGTTAAGTTTAATAAAGATTACTATATATTGGTGCGCTCCTAAGTGCTTTAAATATATAATGTACACAATCCTCATTCCAACTCTAATAGGGAAGGTGTTGTATTGTTATCTCTCTCTCTCTCTCTCTCTCTCTCTCTCTCTCTCTCTCTCTCTCTCTTCCTCTCTCTCAAGAAAACTAAGACACAGAGAGATAAGTAATTATCTAAAATCATGTAGGTCGTATGTAGTGGAGCCAAGATTTGAAGCCAGATATTCTGGCTGAAAAATCTATTCATCACTCTTCTGTACTGCCATATAATACCAAAAAAAGAAATTATATAACATGCCAAAAAAGGAAAAGAATCCCTGTTGTGAATCAGATAATAGAGCAGCCAGCAAAATGTTTAGCCTGATCTCCACCCCAAGGTTATTTGAAAATTAGATATTCAAACTGACTTCTGAAACCCCCGGACTAGGATTTGTATTTCTTCTGAAAGATTGCTTACCAGATTACTTTGTTGGACTTTTAAATAGAGTTGGATTAGGTTGTTCTCTTTCCAAAGTACAGTTTGATCAGAGAGTGTTTATATGGAAGGAAAGTGGTAGACTTCATTATTTCTTGGTATGTAGGAATTTTCTCTCTTGATCCATGAAAACTTTCTGTTCAAATAACGTTCCATGTCACACAACTTAGAGAAAACACTTAAGTAATACTTGTAATAGCTATTCCCTTCCTGGTATGATCTGAGTTGTGTGCTGCTTTGAGGTGATGACAGGGAGGGGGCGTAGGGCTATCCCCAAAACAGTGTGTGTGGCATCTCTCCATCTGAAGCCCACCTAATATAGTTGATTGGTTTGGTTAAGCTTGTTTATATTATTTATTTTATGTAATGCAAATGTTTAATGTTAAAAGCCAAAAGATCCTCTAGGTTTTGGGGTTTTGTTTTTACAATAAACAATAAGTATTTATTGGGTACTCGCTATGTGCTAGATTCTGGTATACAAAGAGGTAATAATGGTCCCTGTCTAGAATCTGATATTTGGTAATTTTCATTCATTCTCTAAATATGTATTGAGTCTTTACTATATTAGGCAATGTAGAGGATAGATTCACAAATAAGACAGAATTGCTGTCTTCAAGAATTTAAAAATTTTAGAGGAGAGGAAGATGAATGAAAACAGCTAACAAAGAAGAAAATGAAAGAGCTGAGAAAATACCAGAAGACAAGTGATTTTGAGAAGAGGGAACAGAGAGTACTTCACAAAGGAGGTAGCATTTGAGTAGGACCTTGACAGATAAGTGAAATTTCAGTGATGAGCAGCAGGAGATAGAGCATCACAGTGTAGAGTGGAGTCAAAAAAGTAAATGCATTCCCGGGGAATAGAAAGGAGGCTGATGTGCCTGGAGTGTGGATTCAGGAAACAGTGGAGAGGGAGATAAAACCATAAAGGGAGGAAGCGATTAGCTTGTGGAAACCCTCCAATGCATGACAAAACTTTTGGGAATTTGGCAGTTATAGAGTCATTAAAGGTTCATGAGGTCAAGAACAAATGAGAAGTTGTATATGGAGTATATTAAACACCTAAGTTCTTTATATTGGTACTCCTCTATGTGTTTTACACAATTCTGGTAACTGGTAAGTAGCAATCACAGCATAGGCAGGGAGAAGAAAGTGTTTTATTCTAAATCAGGTTAGCAGGTACCAAAGTATGGGGGAGTAGGAGAACCAGTTCTCTTAAATAACTCCAACTCTAAGTTCTGATTTGTGCATCGGAGTCTCTATGTTTTCAATCACTATCTCATGCTTTGTAGGTATAGAACAATAATAACTGGACAAAAAATAAAAAAAATAAATGGAAAGGATTTTGCAGTTAGTGCTTCTTGCCATGTATTTCTCTATTACCTTCTAGTTCATGCAGTTTGGGTTTTGTCAGGATTGAAGAACCCCTTCATGAAATTGTGGGGAAGCTGCATCTTCTCTTGAAGGCAGTCATACTTGGATTGCACCGGCCAGCCACAGACAGCTTCCATTGAAATAACTTTCTTTGTTAGTGGATACCTTTCCTCTCTGTGTCTTTTTTCCTCCTGCCAGAACAGTTCAGAGGTTTTCATTAGTTTTGAATTTCAAAACCATTTGAAATTCTCTTTGTCATCTAAACTCTAACACTCCAAGATTGGTTTATGCTCTTAATACTTAGAATAGAAGAAGCACTAGGGCAGGAGTAAATATCCAGATAATACCTGTGTCAATACCTGGTGTCAATAAATAGAAAATACATTCTCCAAAACGTTTTTACTTGATGCATATAGTCCTGAGTCTTGTGCCTGTGTATAGAAAGAGTTCTATAGCTGCTAGAATACATATAGTAAAATGAGCCACAACCATATAAAGTAGAATAAGAATGTGAACCTTTTTTATGTGTTGCAGTTGATGGTATGTATGTAATTCAGGTGAGTTTGAGATTTACTTGAAACAAGGATGTTTCAGACAAAAGTATACTAACCTCTTTTAAAGCAGTAATAACATGCACTTTAAAAATCTCATCAGTGAGTTCTGATTAGAGCAGCGGTTCTCAACCTGTGGATCGCGACCCCTTTGGGGGGGTCGAACGACCCTTTCACAGGAGTCGCCCAAGACCATCGGAAAACACATATTGAATATATAATTACATATTGTTTTTGTGATTAATCATTATGCTTTAATTATGTTCAATTTGTAACAATGAAAATACATCCTGCATATCAGATATTTACATTACGATTCATAACAGTAGCAAAATTACAGTTACGAAGTAGCAACGAAAATAATTTTATGGTTGGGGGTCACCACAACATGAGGAACTGTATTAAAGGGTCACGGCATTAGGAAGGTTGAGAACCACTGGATTAGAGCTTCACTTCCATAGCCCATTAGTAGAACTAAGATGGGACTTGCTCACCACTTCAAAAGTTTTTTGTATGTAGATGTTTTAAATTGAAAGGTAGAGCTAACATCACACTGAATTAAAAACTTTTATTACAAATAGCTGGTAAAAAAACAAACAAAAAAACCCACAAATAGCTGGTAATGTAAAGTCAGTCCTGCTACTGCACTACAGTAACATTTCTAATGATAACTAGCAGTTAGCTTTTCTTTGGTTTTCATCCCTGATAGAGAGTAGATGGCCTGCTAACCCTAAAATAAATATGAGTATTCCCCTTTCACTCTCATTTCACATTTCACATTTGAGGAGGCAGTGGCAAGCGGCATAAGCCACTCCTGTGTTGTTGACTCAGAGAAGAGAAACGGAGATTTGGGTGATTTTGAAGACAAGGATTAATCAGGATTGCTGATTAGGCTGCGATGGGATAGATAGGGCCAGATCATTAAATTTTTGGTCATACATATATGTGTATATGTATTTAAGGCAGAAAATAGAAATAAAAAATTGCCTGTAACCAAGCAACTTAATACACAAGTAGTTACATAGACACTGAAATAGAAATTCACAAGGGAATTTGTCCAGATCTGATTCAGGGAGAGTGGGGTCCTGCTTACTGTCTAGACTAGAGCAACATTGTCCAACAGAAGTTTCCGCACGGGCGGAAATCTCCACCACCTGTTTGGTCGTCACAAGCCATCTATGGCTGCTCAACACTTGAAATGGGCTAGGTGACTGATGAACTGAAGTTTTAATTTTATTTTGTTTTAATGAATTTAATTTAAACAGCCATATGTGGCTAGTAGCTACCAAATTGGACAATGCAAGTGTAAAGAAGAAAAAGGTGGGGTAGTATCAAAGTCAGAACCAACAAGTTGGACCAGATAAACTTCATGTTCCTGAGATGTCTGTACCTTGAGTGACTGACTGGTAGCACTAGATGGATGTGTGTGCAGGGTGCCTGGCTCCTTTACTCTGGTGGGAAGCGTAGAAGAACACAGCCTCACAGCTGCAGTAGCCGTCATGGAGCACCAGTCAAGCCCTCTCACCTCCATCCGTCCTCTCATCTGCGAGGCTTTTTGAAACTCAGGTGCTTGTTTCCACCTTGTCACGTTTCACTGGATCTCGGTCACTTCTGCAGCAGTTCTCCACAGAAAAGATTATAGGTAGTGACACAGATCCCTTTGGTATCAAGAGCTGGTATTTACTATACTAGTTGGTTTTATTATCTGGTGCTTGGGATTTACTGCCTTTGAGGCAACAATTACACTAATCCTCATATGAGGTTCCTTTCCACCTCTCCAGAGTGACACTCAAAAAAAAAAAAGAAAAGGGAAAGATACTGTCCTTTTATCCCTGCCTTTTGTCACAGATGGCAGATAATCAGAATAATATGATGGCTTTCTTCCTATTGATGAGATTGTAGCAATTAAGGATAGTGATAGTGTGTTCCTCATTGATTGGAAACTTCTACAAAATTTAAATTAATTGAGAGCAAGCTAAGAATTAGAAAAGCCAGAAGATACACTCATATTCTGTATCTGTAAACCCACCCCACTCGTTATTGAAAACCTTGTGCCCATATTAGTTGCAGTTATTACTGTGAGCTTAACACTAAATTTGAGAACGCTGGCAAATTAGAAATCGTCTTTCTCTGTAGTAACTGTGTTCTCTATGTACACAAAAGAAATGTTATGCCGAGGAACTTGATTGATTATGAGAATTAATTGCTTTGTTTTCTGCTGGGGGTTAGCAGGATATTGTTTAATAGGATCACAGTTCAGTGTCCTAATATCTGTTCTCCGTGTCTCCTAGAAGACTGTAACTACAGCTTCTATGATTACCACAAAGACACTACCTCTCGTCTTGAAAGCAGCAACTGCAACCATGCCTGCCTCTGTTGTGGGCCAGAGACCTACCATTGCTATGGTGACCGCCATCAACAGTCAGAAGGCTGTGCTCAGCACTGATGTGCAGAACACACCAGTCAACCTCCAGACGTCTAGTAAGGTCACTGGGCCTGGGGCAGAGGCTGTCCAAATTGTGGCAAAAAACACAGTCACTCTGGTAAGCCAACAGCTGCTACTCATGTGTGCCCACATGAGAGGAATATGCATTTATAGAATATATCCATTTTATGCTCCTGCTGGATTTTTTCATCTCCATCACTCTACCCTTTGGGGCTGACTAGGGAATATGGCTTTCCTACTGTCTATTCAAAATTAACTATAGAGGTATCTTAACACCAAAGACCAAAACCCATTCAGTGCATAATTTGAGATCAAAGTCTGACTTGACTTGAGGGGACAATGCCCTTCACAGAGGCATGCACCCTGTTGTGTGTTCCTCTCCCTCCTGTCCACGGCCCTGCCTGTGAAACTTGAGTGCTGAGACTCTGGTGCCATATCACTGATTTTGGGAAACTCCCTACTGGATTCTTATAGTTCACTATACCTTGAAATTATCACTCACGAAGTACTGGACAAAATTGTTCATGAGATTTCTAGGATAAACCATTTGGAAACTGCTGTCCTCAGAATCTTGGGGAAGGATATCCAAATTGTGTTTTAAAAGTTTGCTCCTAAAATGGCAGCTAAGAGTTCGTGGTGGCTTTTGAATGATGACCAGTGATGAGTGAAACTAGAGAGCAATGACAGGAAGCTTCACCACTTAAACCCAGGAATCTTTAGAGAAGCAACCAGATAACTCAGCCAGGTGCTGAAGTGAGAAACTTCTCTATGGGAATAAAGGCATTCTCTGTTAGACAAAGCTCTATGTTAGGAAAGGGCCCATTTGGCCAGGAGGCAAGTTTGATTTTACTTTGGATCCAGTCTTGACTTTTAAAATACTTAAGTGCAAAAGTTCTTGAGTGTCAAAGGAAATTGCCTAAGCTTGCTGAGCCTGCATGTTCCATATTAGGTATGTGAGGGAACAAATGTGATTAGTTCACTCTGTGGGGTAAAGCATGCAAGTGGGAGAGTGTTAATTCAGGTGGTTAATTCTATAGTGAAAGCACATAGAAAATATTGTCTGATGCAGAGAACAGTGATGCTTTGATATTGAACATTTATTGTCCCCTCTGATTTACTTATCTTTCTCATTTTTTAGCAGGTTCAGGCAACACCTCCTCAGCCCATCAAAGTACCACAGTTTATCCCTCCTCCTAGACTCACTCCACGTCCAAACTTTCTTCCACAGGTGAGTGAACCACTGACAAGCCAATAAGGGTTAGGTGGACAGAAATCCTTGAGGGCCTGTAATGCTCTTGTCAGATCAACTGTAGACAGATCCCTCTTAGCTAAAGATTCCAGCTGCTGATTTCTATATCGTGACGAAGCTTATTTTATCATTGCAGTTTCTTAACAGTGACCAATGGCAGTATCAGGGGGATGTAAGGAAAGGAAATTTTCCTAAATTTAATTAAGATAACACTATTTTAAACCTTATAATGTTAACTTACTGGAAGAAGTTAGCCAAGACCTACCTGCCAGTGGGGAAGGAGTATAAATACCACTTTCCCTCCCTATTTGCCAAAGAGAGCAGGGAAGGAAACAACAGCCAAACTAACTAGTAGAAACCATTCAGTTCTACTCTGGAAAGTGATGTCACTGAACACCACACTTAAACACAAAGCCGTGCTTATGAGGATTTAGACTTCAGGTCTACACAGCTTGCCCATCTTCTCCTGAGAGCATTCCTAGCAATTGGGCTGAACTCACCATTCTCATGGCAGAGTGTCGGGATTGCCCCAACTGGGTCTTGAGGGGAGTTGATTTGCCTGATGGAAAGGTTGGGAATTCCTATCTGAGGCCCCAGGTTTCAGGCAAAGAGAGAAGAGAAAGGAGTTTTGTGGTCAGTTGCCACAGGTGATTTCTGAACTGCCTATATGATTTTAACCATTTATCAGATAAAGTCTTTTTATAAAACTGTTTTCTTTTTAATTGATTTCAGGGAGAGGAAGAGAGGGGTAGAAGTATCAATGATGGGAGAAAATCATTTATCAGCTGCCTCCTGCATGCCCCCCACTGGGGATCAAGCCCCCAACCCGGGCATGTGCCCTGACTGGAAATCCAATCGCGACTTCCTGGTTCCTGAGTTGATGCTCAACCGCTGAACCACACCAGCCAGGCTATCAGATAAATTCTTAATAAATACCTTGTGTTTCAAAAAAGGCACTACCAGTCAACACTATGGATATGCCAGTTTTCAAGACAGCCAGTTCCCTGCCCTCAGAGAGCTTCAGACACATTACAGGCAATTACACTGTCTGTTAGGGAGGGATACCCAACTCCTTCTTAAGAATATTACAGAACATTGCCTTGAAGAGTTGACATTCTGTCTGAAACCTGAAGTCCTAATAAAGTCAGCCTGACAAAGTTTTGGGGGAAGAATAAAAATGCTCCAGGCTAAGAGCAGAATATACACGCAAGTCTGGGTTGGAGAAATGTATGGAAGCTTAAGGAACCAGATGCATTCGGTGTGGCTGAGACAGTGGGCCTCAGGCTAGAGTAAGCAGTGGGGCTGGAGAAGCCCATTGGGCCAGAGCCTGGGGAGCAATATAGGCTGTGTCAGAATTTGGGCCTTATCCCAGGAACAGCGGGGAGCCATGAAAGCATTTTCAGACAGGTACTTGGCATGATCAGATTTTTGTTTTAGAAAATTCCTCCTTGCCACTGTGTGGAGAATAGATTAGAGGTGGTCAAGCCTGTGGGAGGAAGAACAGTTAGAATACTGTCAACAATAGAGAATATTGCTACCTGCCACTGACTGTAGCACTGTACGTGGGTTATCTATTTTAATCCTCACAGCAACTGTATGAAAGTAGGTGTTGCTCTTTTTTAGGTGAGGACTCTAAGGCTTAGTCCATGTTTTTTAAATGGTGGATTATGCCTCATTAGTTGGCTGTGAAGTCAATTTAGTGGATTATATGCACAGTTTTTAAATAAAATGAACAAAATGTAATAGAAAATACTAGAGTACATAGCACATAAGGGTTGTTTCATGAAGTTTTTATTTTTAGAGACAGAGATATATGTCTATGTGTGTATACTGGTTACAGTGTGAAATGTATTTCCTACTATATGACTACAGCACCTACCACAGGGTCACCTTAAATTAAGCTGAACATTCAGACTCGCCAGGAGCCACACTTGGCAGCAGTCTACTTAGAACGATGCAGGACGGAAACCAGCTCTTTCTCAGCATCAGACATTTTTCTTGAATGCACGTCCCTACAGTAGCCCATATGCAGTCTCCACAGCTGCTCAGGGGCGGGGAAATCAGGGCAGTGGGAGAGCCACTCCGCCATAGAAACCTTATGCCTCACAGAAGCCAGTGTATCTTATAACAATTCCATAGGCATGGTTTTCAAGGTCCCTGCAATGGACAGGCCCAGTTATAAGCATGACCCCACTTTGGGAAACCCAAAGTATGGTCCCAAGTATTTATAAATCTCGCCATTAAGATTCGATTTAGCAATAAGGGGTCATTTTCACCATAAGCAATGTTGCCTGGTAACATAGTTGATATTCTTATCTTTATTGGGTTTTCAGGAAAACAGAACTGGAGAGTTAACTAAAGGTCGAACTCTAATACATAAGAGGAAAGGATTTTGCCCATAAGGTCACAGGTTAGAGAGTTTGAAAAATACTGGCTTAGAAAGATTAGGTATGTTGCCTAAGGTTATACAGCTAGCAAGTGGTAGAACCAGGATTTGAACCCAGGCAAGGCTGACCCATGTTTTTAATTAAATTTCTGCCACTGTTTAAGTAAGCCAAACATAGGGAAAGTAGTGGCAGTGAGAAGAGAAAGTAGGACATATTTGAGAAGGATTTAGGAAGTTGAGATGGAGGAGGAAACATCAAGAATTGTTCTGAAGTTTAGGAAAGAAATGAAAATTTACTGAGGTGATGATTATAAGAGGAAGAGAAGGTTGAAGGAAGAAATTAATGAGTTTTAGATACGTTGATTTTGAACTTCTTGTGAGATTTCCAAGTAGAGATGTCTAGCAGGCAGTTGAATATGATTCTGAAATTTAGGAAATGTCTGGTTCTAAGATACAAGTGCAGAAGTCTTCAGTACATTGATGGTATCTGAAGCCCCAGGGTGGATGAGAGCTCCCAGGAGGAGTGAGGACACTGGGAAGAAAGGTTCCAGGACAAAATCCAAAATACACTTAAATTTAGTATTAGACAGAGGAAGAGGAAGCCCACAAAGGAGACTGAGAGAAGGGGTGGCCAAGATAGGGGGTTAGAGGGTCAGAGATGGGGGTGAACTGAAGTGTGGATAGGAAGAAATTTAGAATGTGAATTAAGGCCATTGGCAGCATTATTACCATACTCTGGGCACAAGTTCTGGGTGAGACCAGTCTCTGGATTGGGCATTTGACCTCAGCCTGAAGAGACGGCATATATAAAAGAAGGAGCTAGGTTTAGAATCAGAAGAACTGTGTTCTAGGGTAGCATTTGGACCCTCTAAAGAGCTGATGAGTATTTTATAAGATTATGTATCCTGAGTTCTATAGAAATAATACAACCAAAGTGAACATTAATATTTGTACTAAATAATATTTCACATATATAGTGTGGACGATCTGATAATTACTTAGACTTATAGGAAGCTTCTGTAAGTAATATGGTGATTGTTCTCTCTTTCCCCATAGGTTCGACCCAAGCCTGTGGCCCAGAATAACATTCCTATTGCCCCAGCACCTCCTCCTATGCTTGCAGCTCCTCAACTTATCCAGAGGCCTGTTATGCTGACCAAGTTTACCCCCACAACCCTCCCTACCTCCCAGAATTCCATCCACCCCGTCCGTGTCGTCAATGGGCAGACTGCAACCATAGCCAAAACGTTCCCCATGGCCCAGCTCACCAGCATTGTGATAGCTACTCCAGGGACCAGACTGGCTGGACCTCAAACTGTACAGCTTAGCAAGCCAAGCCTTGAAAAACAGGTACAGGCAAGAGTATGCACCTGCTTTGGGCATTAGCCTTGCCATTGAGGCTAGGTTATCTCTAAATACATCTTCTCAAGGGCTCTTTACCTCAGTACCATTGTCAATGACCTGTTGCTTATCATGTGATAATTTATTTAAAATGCAAAAGGGCCATTCTTACTGAAGAAAGTTGGATTACTTTTTCCATTATCTCCTTATAGATGGATTCATAGTTCTGTGTGAATGAGCTCCCCCTGCTGGTTGTGAAGCAAAAATTCACAGATGGGTTCTGCTACCGTCAGTCAGGAGGCACAGAGGAGATAGTAAACAGAAAATCCCATATTAGTTTTGGCCCAATAAGAATCCAGATGAAGATGGGACTATGAATGTCAGGAAGAATAAACTTCAAAGTTTTCTCCTGGTTATTACAGATAATGAAGAGTCAAATGAAAAAAATTACAATTTCTAAAAGGTATTCTTTTAACTTGAAAGGATTTTAGTTCAAATATTTTAGCCTTTAATTTATATTTCTAAAAACAGATGTTCTCTTAAAAACATGAGGCTAGAGAAATACAGGTAACCTTTAAAAATACTAAGGGTTCTATGACAGAAAGACTTTTAAAAACAAGAAAACAGATTTATTTATAGGCAGTCACCATATATTCTATTTAAAGAAAAACCAGTGATGATAAAGAAGAATTTTGCAAAGAAAAGCATCCTCTTTCAGAAGTTGATTTAAAAAGTCATCTAATTGCTCAGGCTTGAGTTCTCATTCACATGAAAATAGTCTCTGGTGATCCTGAAGCTTGTGCGTCTGGGTGGCTGACTGTGGTTCAGAGAGGCCGGCCAGATGGCGGGGATGAGAAGGCTTCCTGTTGCCTTGCCTTCTTGAACAGGAACCGTGTGCATGGAGAGCCCAGCTTCCTACCCAGGCAGCTCATCACTGCAGCAGACCTAAAAGGCTGGGTACCAAAATCTTGTGCTCAGACAACACAAGAAAGAACATATCTCTATTCCTTGGTAGCCTACTCAAACCCCAGGAAATGCTTTGAGGAACATTCAGAAATAAATTACTTGCACATATTTTAGGTCAGAAATTTTCAAACTTATTGTCAGCGGAACTTCAGCATTAAAATCTTGAATGTAGAATGCTCAGCTTAGGAGTCTGGGCAGAGGCATATTTGACAGTCATCTGGCCTTGTGTACAGGGATGGCTCTCAGAGTACCTCTGAGGACCCTTAGAATTATAAAGGGTGTGGTTTCAAAACACTATTTTAGATTGCTAAATGTGATTTCTCTTTGACCTCTTTTTTCATAAAGAAATTTTTAGGAGACAAGAATTTTTTCAGTTTTATTTTATTTTACACTTTTTTTGTTACAAAGATAATACATATTCATTGTAAAAGAAAAATTCAGACATTACTGAAATATATGTTGTAGCAAGTGCATCCCCCATAATTTATGAAGAGAGTAAAATTTTCCCATAATTTACCCCTCCCCAAAGTTGCTATTAACAGTATAGGTTACATTCCTCCACATATTTTCTGTGTGTATACTAACATTGTAAAAGCAAAAAAAAAAATCATTATAAATTATTTTGTAACTTGCTCTTTTTCTTATTAGAGCTTGAATGTCTTTTTGTTTCTGGCCTTACACATTGATAGAGATTTTAATTTTAATTTTAATATCATAGAAAGGTACCCATGAATTCTTTTTTTTAAATGTTCTTTCCTAGTGGTAAATTCAGTGGTTTATCTTCTTGTTGACCTAATAGAGGACTCCAGTTCATTGCTGTTTAGTAGGATACCTGGCATAGCAGTCTTACTGGTTAACAAGCTCAGCAAGGATGCTCTTTGTGTTTTTTATCCAGTTCTGAGATACTTGTACTCTACAGTGTGAGAGAGAGAACTTGGACCCTGGATAATTCCTTGGTGGAGAGGAATTGGTTTGTCCTTCCCTGGAGGCATTACCACTCCATGCTTTTGCAGCCTTAGAGATGGGAGTGAGAGACCTCAGGAACTTCACAGTCTTGAGTGGAGCAGCAACCCTTCCAGTTGACCTTCTTGTCTCCCTCCTCCCTCAGACCTCTGTCCTTCCACATTAAGAGAGCTACAGGCACCCAAGACCTTTAAAATGTCATTATAAACTGCTTTCCCATGTGTTCCCTTGTAGGTGTGTTTGGTGGTTTGTTTTGTGGAGTTAGTGTGTCCTTTTTGGTTCAAAGTGAGTGGTATGAGAGAGAGGAGACACAAGTGGCTCTCCTGGGGGTCATGTTCCCCACAGGAGATCAGCGTCTCTTTACAGTGCACCTGCTCTACGTGGGGCACTGTACTAGGCACAAAGGGTGCAAAAGTGTGTTGAACAATCCCTGCTCTCAAGAAGCGTGTAGAAGAGGAGGAAATAGGACAAGACACTGGTAAAAAAAAAAAAAAAAAAGACAAGGCAGTATTTGTACCCAGAAACAGATGCTTACACTTTCTCAAAGTAACATGAGAAACAAGGAAGATATGAAAGTAGCCAGGAAAGAACGCGAAAGACCTTTGTGATTGTGTAAAATGTTTTACAGCATAATGGTTTTTGAGAACTTCTGATGTTCTGCCTGTAGGACTGAAGTCTCATTTGGCTCCCGCTCATCAATAATCAGTTTCATTCTCACTTATTTAATTACTTATTGTCGCCATATAAAAAGACCATTGGCATCTGCTTTTTTAATTTTGAAAAAGTAAATTAGGTGTGTGTTTAGTGTTTCACCCACTGTTCTAGCATTATTTCAGGGTTTATAGAGGGCTTCATAAAGTGAATTAGCCATTGGGTCATGGTAAGAATAGTAACGCAAGCCCAGTCTACCAATTTGCTAGCTGCCATTTGTGTCTGAAGATGATAATGCTGCTGGTGTTTCTTTTGTGTGAATGGATGCCTTTGGAAAATGAGGTTGCCAGTAATCAGGATGTCAGCCTCTTGCGAGATGACCTTTCCTTGGCAATTGCATCTCCCTAATGGGTGATGCAGACGGGTTTTAAACATCCCAAGTGAGGGTACTTCTGCAGCCTCTCTCGGATTGTAATTAGAAATGTTCTGAAATAGAAGTGTGTACATGTAAGAGGTTTTTTTACATCACTCAGATCTTAAGCATGCTGTGGACTAGAGCTTGACCCATATGTAACAAGAGTGTGCTTGCTTTTGGAAAACTGCCCCTACATTCTAAAATGCATTAAAATCGGAGAGAGCTGCCTATATTTTATTTTTATACATAGGAATTAAGCCTTGGCTTTTTCTTTTTCTTTTTTTTAAAATATATTTTATTGATTTTTTACAGTGAGGAAGGGAGAGGGATAGAGAGTTAGAAACATCGACCAGCTGCCTCCTGCACACCCCCTACTGGGGATGTGCCCGCAACCAAGGTACAAGCCCTTGACCGGATTCAAACCTGGGACCCTTCAGTCCACAGTCCGACGCTCTATCCACTGAGCTAAACCGGTTAGGACGGCTTTTTCTTTTTGTATAATTTAAACTGTTGTATTTATAGGTTCATATTTACTCTAGTTATACAATTTAACCATTTCAACTGGGCCTTACATTTTACATTTCTTCCAAAATGAAGTCTATATTACCTCCTTTATTACTGTTTCCAGATTGAGAATGTTTTTCTTTCCTTTCTTGTTGACTACAGTCAAACTGTGTTTGTTTTCATTCTTTAATAAGTGAATTCTGAATTCTCATTTAATTTTCTTCTCCTAGACAATTAAATCTCACACAGAAGCAGATGAGAAACAAACAGAGAGCCACACCATCACTCCACCTGCTGCACCCAAACCAAAACGGGAGGAGAACCCTCAGGTAGGTCCAGCTCCCCACAGGCGTGGCTGTCTAGGAGACTGGCCTATTCTCACACACCAGCAGGGACACTTGCTCCTGAACACTTTGTCTTTTCTTTTGCTTTCTCACTATTCAGTAATGTTACTTCCAAGTTAGGTTGGCCTAGGGCAGATAAAGAGTATGGCCTTGAGTGTCCATGAGCTGGCATACCGGCATTTTGTACACATATCACAAATTTGAAATGTAAGATTGGGGATCATTTTACCAGCTATCCTATTGCACTCCTAATAATCGCTATGTTTATTTGTCTCAGCCAACATTTATAAGCTGTTCCGTTCACTCAGCTGAGGTCTATTTACGTTATCGATTACAGTTGTCACATTTGCTTTTTGTTGTTACTGGTGTATTGCACTAGATTTCCAAATCCCAGATGAACCAGTAGCTGAAAAGTAGTTCATCGAAGCATAGAAGTAGGGATGAAAAGAGTAACATCTGTACCACAACTTAGGATAGAATTCTAAACTAAATAGCAAACAAGACTCTGGTACAAACATAGAATGTGAATTCATATGTCCTTAGACAAGAGAATTTTTAAGTTTGATGATTTAGCATAAGTAGCTATAAAATAAAAATTGGACAGGTGATCTGATGATGAATATCTGAAAGTTGGATTTTATTAGACTGGTGATTTTCTTCTGTCCTCAATGCATTCTCTGTAATGAAACCCTGTAAGATAGTGGCATGAAGCCATCAAAGCTGCATGTCATTAAGAAAAACAGAACTATGATTTATTAAGCCAAGAAGGTTTTTCTAAAACAAGTATAAATGATAACTCTTTCTGATATGAAATGGATTAATTTTTAATGTATCTTAAAGGAGGGACCAAAACTTGAACCAAATTGCTGAGAAACTTGTAAAATCATCCATAAAATTTAAAAAGTATAATAATTGGAGAGAAAAAAAAGAGTAAGCTGTTAGCAGAATTTCCTTATCAAGAGAAATTAAAGAATATCTTATGTCAGTGCATGGTGTAGGCAAGCAGGTTCCTGCCATCATAGGTAGCAGCAGGTATTTTGCCTTCTGGTTGGGCAGAATTACTGCCATAAAGAGGCAGTTGGTTCTTGGCACATGTGTGATACATAGATGAGACAAAAGTTCTCGACAACTTTTTGTTTTGTTTATCACTGAAAATCTGTTCCACAGGAGAGGATTTTTTTAATTTAATAATTCTTTCATGAACTCTCAGTCTAAACTGGCAGAGATGTGTTGGACGTGAGTGGCCAAGAAGGGCGCAGTCACGGGATTAAAAGAAAGTGCATCTGAATGTCAGTCCTCACACTGCTTTAACAGAGAGCAGTTGCTAGACAGCCTTCTAATCTTGATTACATTTTGAAGGAATAGTGGGAATTAGGAATGTAGTTATTTTTGGCAGCCATAAAATGTATGCCATTTCAATATACAATGTGGAAAATGGGCAGCAAGTCCAAGACTGCTTTTCCCTGCCAAAGAACTCTGGCTGTTGGAGGGAGAGGTGCCCACCTAACTTTGGAATAAGAAATAAAAACATTTCTTCAAGATTCTGAGATAATAGTAAAGGGCATTTCTGTTCTCCAGTGCCTGCCTCAATGACTGTATTTTCATAAAACGCTATCTTGGGTAGCCTGAACCTGTCACATCTGGCCAAAATACCATGATATTTAATGTTGAGGATGAAATGTCAGGATTTTTTAAGACTGAACTGTGGTATAAATAATTCTATAGGAGTATGTCTCCTAGCAATGGATGATATTCTTTATTCACCGGCAAAAAAAAATTGATGATGCACTCTTTGGCATGTATAGTGCCCACATGCAGTGGTACAGTGGAAAATGGAGACATACTTTCCAGACCTCATGCAACCAAAGAGCAAAGTAGTCATCAATTTGTTGCTTTCTCCAACTTTAAGCATCTGATGTGTCAGCTGTAAGGTGCAGTATCCTAATCAATCTAGTCAGAGAAAAATCGCTCCATGTTTTTAGGCCCATGTTTGAATGAAAAATCATAGTGTTAAGCAGAACACCTGCTATCATTGCTGAAGCTCATTTAGCTTTGAGTTAGCGTTGTCCAGTCAGTGGTAGCAAAAATGTAAGAAACCCTGACTTGACATGACAAGTAAACTACTTAGAATTTTTAGCTTGTTGTATAGGAGGCTCTGCATGTTTTTCGAATATGAAATCCTCTTCTAAGAGGATTTTTAAAAATATTTTTATTGATTTTTTTTAGAGAGAGAGGAAGGGAGAGGGAGAGAGAGAAACATCGCTGTGAAAATGAAACACTGATTGATTGGCTGCCTCCTGCACACCCCCTACCAGGGATCTAGCACACAACCCGGGCATGTGCCTTGACTGGGAATTGAACCGGCAACCTCTCAGTGCACGGGATGACATGTAACCAACTAAGCCTCACTGGCCAGAGCTCTAAAATGATTTTTTTTATGAAAGAAAAAAATATTGGGCCACTCAAAATGCTGATTTCTGCCATTGAGGAAGTAGAAGATGTAGGCCCTTGTCCTTCTCTTTTGGTCCCTGTGAGACAAGGAAGCGGTGGAGTGGCTTCATAGCTGTTAAGAGGAGGATGCCCCACTCTTTTTCACCTGAACCTGGCCTCCTTCAGGCCACCAGCCCGTTGGGCTGCCTTTCTCTAGAATTCTAGTTGGGAACATGTGATTGGCTTTGTGAGAACCCAAACTGAAGCATATTCATCTTTTGTTTCCCTGGCACAGAAACTTGCCTTCATGGTGTCTCTAGGATTGGTAACACATGACCATCTAGAAGGTAAGAGAAGATATTCATAATGTTGCCTTGCTTCTGGCCCAGAGCTTAGTTCTTGAAAGTGGTGTTTTATTGCTAGAATAGAAAACTGAAAACAAATAGAGTATCATGTAGTCAGTGTGGACTTTGTTTCCTTTTAGAGTAAAATTGGCTAATGTTCAGCCCTCCCCTTCGTTTCACTTTGTATCCACACTGCTGTCCTGGGCAGACCACCCAGTTGCCTGGATTAAGGTGACTTCCGCTCACTTAGGGAACTTTCTCCCCCAGACAGCATGGAGTAGCACATGCCCCCCTGACTTTGTATTTTTCAGTCCTCTTGGTTATTAGAATCTTAAGGACAGTTGCAAAGCTACACCTGTGTTGGTTACTTAATTGAAGAATGGTGAACTATGGTTACTCAATCTAGGTCTGTGGATAAAGTTCATCCACACCTATGTCACAGTGATCTAAAAATAAACCAGGACAGCTTGTTCACAAGCGTTGTCTACCATTAAGCATGCGGTCACAGAGAGCCTCCCAGGGGACAGCGTGGCCTTGCTTCCCAAGAGGTGAGAGTAGACGTCCTGCGTGTGTGCTCCCAGCGGTGTGCTTGCCTCTGCTGAGGCTGCAGTGAAACCGAGAGGCTGACCCCATCTCTAATTTGTCTGGGAAAACCCATAGTTAAAATAATGAAGTTAAGTTGTTGAGGTTCCCTGTACCTCTCTTCTAATTTAAACCTTTTGCTTTCCCAAGAAATCCAAAGTAAGAGGCAAGAGCGAAAAAGAAGAACAACAGCAAACCCAGTGTACAGTGGAGCGGTCTTTGAGCCAGAGGTACTCCTGGCCAGCCTGGCCCTTCCCTCACCATTCACTTCACTTATGACTTACTCAGCACCTCCCATTGGAAACCTGGTTGTACTTGCCCAGCTTTGTAAAGTGATGATTTTTCTCTGGCTGATCCCATTATTTCATTTTTATTATTCATTGCTTTCCCCTTAGTTTTTGCTTACATTTGAACAGATACAGACCTTCCTTAAAAATTTAACTCACCCTGGCTTCAACACAACTGTCATCTGGAGCAGAGGGAGACCTCCCTGGAATATATGTAATAAAATACGTTAGCACTGATACCTTGGGGTGACTGGCACTAACTAGTTGGCATGTTGACAGGCATACTGTGCTTGGTCTTTAGCTTTTGCCAGTATTAGTAGTAACCATGCTATTCAACCATCACATTTCCTTCTTCAACCCTCAAAGCGTAAGAAGAGTGCAGTCACCTACCTGAACAGTACAATGCACCCTGGGACCCGGAAGAGAGGTGAGTACCTTTTATATCTCTCCCTTGCCTCTTGCCTTTGCTTTCTGTGTTGTTTCTTCCCTTTCCCCTAGAAAATAGTTTTGTTGTTGTTATTCTCTGAGAAGGGGGGAAAAGAGAGAGAGATTTCCTATTAGAGTTGTGTATACTGAGTTGAAAGCGGCCTTTCCTGGGATTCCAGCAAGGCTGCCTCAGGGGAATGGCTTCCTGCAGCATTTCTGCCCCCAGCCCACCAGGCTGTCCCTGAATATAGCACAATGAACAGAACACCGTGCAAAAGGAAGCATTTTAGCGTCACTGAGCAGCACAGAGCCCCGCTGTTGCCAAGGTGCTCTTAGTCGTGTCTGAGTCATCCCTCTGCAGGAGAAACCGGAGCATCACTTAAGTTTCCGTGTGCTGCAGGCTTTCCAGGAAAGAGAGAAGTAGCCACACTGAACACTTAGAATCTGTGAGAAGAAAAGGTCACTGTCAAGCAGGCTTTCGAAAGCAGGAATTTTTAAAGAGCTTCCTCCCGTGTTTTAGACCTCCCCAGGGCAGGCGCTGCACCTCCTCTTAGGGCCGAGAGGACAGCAGCAGCAGTCTCACTGTGCGGGTCTAAATAGGGCTTAATAGCTCAGAGTTGGAGCTCATAAACAAGGTTCTGAAATTGTTCTTTGATGTCAGTAATACATCCCAAGGTCCCTTTCTCTGCATGATAATGTGTCCCTGAATTACAGTCCAGGCTAGAGAGGTTGCAGCGAGTGGAGGAGCATACTAATGTTCGCGTCTGCACACACAGCCTCAGCTGCTGGGAGCCTAGGAGGTCATCCCGACCCTTTGTCTGCCTTAGGGAGGCTGCAGCCACACCACGGCCGCCTCCACCCGCAGAGAGAGTGTACCCACCCTGAGTGACCGGTTCTCATGCTGCACCCACCCCGTCCTTCAAGTGGTCAAAATATGTAGATGAGAAACCCGAAGCCATTGCTTCATACTAGTTCCTGGGCCACAATAATCAGTGTCATGGATTATTTTTTGTTTTTAGCAATTTTTAGTGACCTCTTACACAGTTCTCAGAAAGGAGCCCCCAGCCAGAAGCCACAGTTAATTGGCCTGCTGGTGGGCTGGTTCTGCTAAAAGAAAAGGGGTTAAATGAGCCAGAAAGACCTTGGCATCTCTTGCCAAGGTCAGAGGATGAAAGCCTGCATCTACAAGCCTAGGATATGCCTTCTGTGGGTAAACAAAGAGCATTCATCTTCCACTTCTCCCCGCAGCACTAATTCCCCAGGAAGACACACCAGTATGACCTGTCTTTGTACTGCAGACATCCCCAGTCTAACACACATAAGTGATGTTTGTGTATGTCTGACAGAATCAGCATTCCTGTGCATGGTTTTGATATAAATTGTAACTGTTGGCAAAGTCACGATCTGCCTGCCATTACCAGTGTTCGTAGGCAGGTGTGCACCTCTCTGGCTCTTTTTTCCCTGTGGTGTTCTAGGCATTCACTTTGTTCACTCACAGCTTCGGAGTGTGACCCTGACTTAGACATGTCAGGCAGGAGTGGTTGGCCTGGACTTGCCACACCCACATGGGTCATTTATGATCCTCTGTAGCATGAGGTGTGATGCAGATGCTCCTACTCATATCAGGCCTCTCAGTTAGCAGTGTTGCTGATGACGGCCTTCCTGAGACTGGCTCAGCCCAGTCCTGAGACCTGTGGGGTCACCAGAATGTGGTAGAAAGTGGGGAGACAGTTCTCGATCAACTAGGGAGAACACTTGAGTCCAGACCTACTTAAATTCATATTTAAACTCAGGACATCTTTTTAGCTCTTGGGTTCCAGCTACCCCTTGAACATCTCTCTCGCTAGCTGTAGCAGCAAGGGGTAGGAGTAGTTAACTTGAATTTTGTCTCCTTGCTTCACCTTTCTCTACCTTTATAGGCAGTGAAATGACCAAAATGTAGGCAGGTGAGAAAAGGAAAAGCAGAAATCCTAAATAAATCCATTTGTGGGAGCCGAGAATCATTAATATAGGAAGAATGATGGTTGCAGAGAAACATTAGAGAACAATATGCAAAAGATATGGGAAAGTAAAGTAGATTCCTATTTCTGGCCTTCGCTCCCTGTAAGCTTTGGTTCTCGCCTGAGAAATCAGATGTCACAGTCCAGGAGCCTCACTGCAACCTGCCAAGGCAAGGCCCTTTAACACGACCCAGCGTCTCTGTCATTCTGCAAGTCCTCTCTTCTCCTCCCTTCTTTTGAGACTCAGGCAGTTTCTAATGACATTTAAATCTTAGCTTCTCTTCCTGTCTTTGGGACTGTTGTATTAACCTTCTGTCTGCTACCTCACTTCCTTTTCCATGCTAGCCAATGAGGAACACTGGCCAAAGGTATGTAAGATCATTTCCCCCCTCTCTTCCCCCACCCCTTTTCCCCTTTTGTTCCCTTCTCTTGGCATATAGGTCGTCCTCCAAAATACAATGCAGTGATGGGGTTTGGAGCCCTTACCCCAACATCCCCCCCATCCAGTCATCCTGACTCCCCTGAAAATGAAAAGACAGAGACCACATTCACTTTCCCTGCACCTGTTCAGCCTGTGTCCCTGCCCAGCCCCACCTCCACAGACGTAAGTAACGTGGGAAAAGCTCCCTGTCTCTGCGAGCCTCACTGGGGAAACATTGTCCTGTGTTGTCTCCTCCAGCAGCATCACCCTGACTAACCCGGGAAAGCAGGGACCCCGACAGGACACTATGCCGGGAAGGCAGCTGCGCTGAGGCCCAGGTCCTGCTGTGTTCTTGGGACTCATGCTAAATGTCAGGAGGCTCAGTAGTTTCCGGAGGCTGCATTTGATGTGCCGTGAAGGAGTTCTCAGGAAGGTGTGGGGTGGGAAGTCAGCTCACGTCCCTGCAAGGTGTACAGGTTTCTATCATCAGGTTTTGGAGGTGGGGGAATGAGCAAGGTGGACGTTCCCTTAGCAGTTGTTGCCTGCTTCAAGTGGAATTCAAGAGTGGAAACTTTGCCGTAGAGCAGCTGTATTTAGCAGAGTTGGTTAGAAATAGGTTCCAGAAAGAGTGTCAAATACTCAGTAGTTCTTCACCCAGAAACTGCAGGAGTGTCACCAGTGCCCTACATTTTTAAATGAGCATTTCCAAAGCAGTGACTTCACTCAGCAAATACTTAGTGAGCGCTTCTCTGCTGAGCAAGCGCTGTTCTTAAGGCTGGGATAGAACAGGAACAAAACCAGCTTCCTGCCCTCATGGAGCTCATGTTGCATGGTGGGAGGCAGGTGATAAGCAGATGAACATATAGTGTGCCAGGGAGTGATAATGCTGTGGGAAAGTGAGACAGGTGAGGGGCATAAGGGGTTAGGGCAGGAGGTTGCTCTTTTATGAAGATGCTGAGAGGGTGGGGGGAAGAGCACTCTGTGAAGAGGGAACAGCAACGCAAAAGCCCTGAGGTAGAAATGTACATGCACGAAGAAAAGAGGCCAAGACGGCTGGGCAGTGAGCAGGTGCAAGTGGTGGGGATGAGACCCCAGAGGTGGCAGGGGTTTTGACTTTTTATTGTGAAAATTCCAAACCTACAGAAAAGTTACAGTAACAATACAAGGAATAGATGTATACCCTTCACCTCGATTGACCAGTTGTTATCATTTTGCCACATATGCTTCTCTCTCCTACACACACATATACACACACTTATACATACACACATACATATATATAAATATATACACATACATACACACAAACTTTTTAAAAATCCTTAACCAAGGATATGCTTATTTAGAGAGGGATAGAGAGGTGAGAGAGAAACTTTGATCAGTTCCTCCCGTAAGTGCCCCAAGAATGGATTGATCCCCTGACCTAGGTATGTGCTCTGACCAGGAATCAAACCCACAACCTTTTGGGGTCTGTGATGACATTCCAACCAACTGAGTCACTCTGCCAGGGCCACACTTTTTTTTCTGAACTAGTTAAATTGCAGGCATCATGAATCTTCACCCCAAATGCTTTGGTTTATATCTCCTAAGAATAAAGATATTCTCTGATATAGCCACAATACAGTTATCAAATAGAGGAAATTTAATATTGATAAAAGGTTATTATACAATATACAGTTCATATTCAGCTTCTCAGTTTGTCTCGATTATTGCCTTAGTGGCACTTAAATTTTTCTGCTTCAGGATCCAATTCAAGATCACTCTTGCATTTCTTGTCTCTTTAGCCTCCTTACTCTGGACTAGTTTCCCATCTTTTCTTTGTCTTTCATGGCATTGATGTGTTTAGAAAGATAGGCCAGTTGCTGTGTAGGGTGTCCCTCCATTTGGATGACCCGATTGTTTCCTCAAGAACAGATTGGAGGCTGCATTTCTGTAGGAACACTAAGTAAGCGGTGATGAGTCCTCAGTGCATCACAGCAGGAGGCACGTGCTGTCAGTCTGTCCCCTTGTTGGTGATGTTAACGTTCATCCTTAAAATAGATCCCATCGAATGTCTCCACTTGTACAGGCACCTGTTTCCTCAGCTTTGAGTCTGTAAATATCCAGTTCCCCAGCAAACTGCTACCCAGTGGTTTTAGCATTTTTTTGCTGGTTCTTGCCTGCAGTTATTATTCAAAGGTGTTTGCAAAATTGACTGGGATTTTAAAAGGACCGATGTGTGTAAAATATGGAGACGAGACTGGGAGGATAGGACGGGAGCAGGGAGATCAGTGAGGAGGCTGTTATAGTCGTCTGATCAGGAGCCAATGCTAACTTGGCCTAATATAATAGGTAGAAATGGAGATGGAGAAAAGTGATTGAGTCTGCATCTTTTTGAAAAGCCAGTAGAATTGGATAATGGGGTATGAGAACAAGAACAGTCAAAGGTGAATCCAAAGTTTTTGGCCCAAACAGCTAGGAGGCTGGAGCTGCCCTTTCCTGGACATGACAGGAGAAGCAGGTTTGGCATGTCTCATCTCTCTTGTGAATGACAGAGCTTGTCTTTAGGGTCACCTTCAGGTATAAGATCCCTTGCATTACAGGCTCTTAGTAGTCTAAAGTCTGCCCCTCTCCAAAGAGCAAAAGAATACCATCTGCACATCCTGAGTTAAACTTCCAGAAACGACAAAGGGAGTGTCATCTGTGGAGGACCAGGTCACGGAGGAGTTCTGTTCTCTGCCAGGCGTCCTTCGTGAACATAGCTGGTGGCCTCAGACCCAGCCTTGCTGTCAGACTCAGCCTTTTGTCCAGCTTTCCTTTGGCAGGAGTCATTGATTCAGGTTTCTGCTTCTCCTGTTAACTGGCACCAGGCATCCCTGTGGTCACTTTGTTTGGTGGCAGCGAAGATTGTCTCAACTTCTTTGAAGTTAAAGCATTGCCCAGGGGTGGACAGTCTTGGTGGGGCTGTCCCCCAGGAGTTCTGTGGTTCTGCATGTGAGTCTCTTCCTTAAACAGTGTTGTTTTTATTTTTGTGACTTTGGGCTGAGGGGGTTTATAAAATGGTTTTCTTGAAAGGATCCACTCAGCTCTAATCACAAACTAAAAGCTTCTGCCAGGTTTTGTGTTAAAATATAAACACTGTTCTTCTTAGAAATCTAAAGATAAAAGGAAGCTTTTCTAAAACCACTAAATAATGTAATTGACTTCTACTTTTACATATATCAACAGTGGCAGTTATTAAAATCGACACACAGGGCTCTGTATATTAGCTTCTGGGTGGCATAACCCCAACAACATTAATTAAATAATAACAGCTGAGAGGCAGGCATTTCCTGGAGATCAATACCATCTAGAAGGACTTGGTACAAGATACGTCTGGGCACGAATCCTCAGGATGTAACTTGTTGCCACTATCATCACTTTTATGAGAAGGGAAGATGAGTTGACATAATTATACAATTTTTTTAGCAAATGATGAAGTTGTAATTGATACAACCAGGGTTTTTTTAAAAAAAAACCTATGGCGTCAGCCCCTAGCAAAGGATTGTGGGTCAGACATCTTTCCACTTCCCATTTCGTTTATGGTAATAATTCGGTCCTTCACCAAAGCCTAAGCTTTCTGACCTGGTGCAGCACCTCGTTGGACTTCCTTTCTGTTGAAGCAGAGAACCAGTTCTTTGTGGATGAAATACATGATTTACCATTTCATATTCATTTCTATGGGTAGTAGTTCTCAAGTATGGCCTGGGGGTCCCTGAGACTCTTTCAGGGGGTCCATTAAATCAAAACTATTTTCATGATCATATTCAAACACTCTCTTCCGGTTTCATTCTCATTCTCTCAAGAGTGAACAGTGGAGTTTCCCAGATATTACATGTCATGATGATATCATCACTCTGATGGCTAATGGGCAGTGCACCTGTGTGTTCTGGGGTTCAAATTTTCCAATACATATTTTTGTAACTTCCTGGATTCTATAATTATTTCAAACTTAAAATGTTTTAAAACTTCTAATAAGTAAATATCAATGTATCTCCCATCCAAGTACTAACCAGGCCCGACCCTGCTTAGCTTCCGAGATCAGACGAGATCGGGCGCGTTCAGGGTGGTATGGCCGTAGACAATGTATCTAACTCCCATAAACAAAAGCTCTTTGAGGTCTTTAGTAATTTTAAGAGTGTATGTCTCAGTGGTTAGAGTGTCAGCCCACTCACCCAAGGGTCGTGGGTTCGATTCCCAGTCAAAGACATGTACCTGGGTTGCAAGTTGGATCCTTGGCCCCCAGTTGAGGCCCGTGCGGGAGGCAACCAATCAATGTGTCTCTATCACATCTCTCTCTCTCGCTTTCTCTCTCTCTCTCTCTCGCTCTCTCTCTCTCCCTTCCCCCTCCCTGCCCTCCCTCCCTTCCACTTTCTCTAAAAATCAATGGAAAAAGTATCCTTGGGTGACGAATTAACAACAACAACAAAAAGAGTGTAATGGGGTCCTGACACCAAAAGATTACGAGCTACTGCTATGAGCTATATAAAGAGGATACAATGTTGTTTTTTTCCTTTAGCAACTGAAATAAATTAGTTAAGTTTTATTTTATGTACTCTCCACCTTCCACTTCCTGATGTTCTCCTTATTCAGGATAAAAGGAAAGTGAGCAGAACTCTTTACCCAATAAATACCTCTGAATAAAATGTGCACTTTGTCTCATACTTCATCACTGCTAATTCTATCTATGGTTCATGAAAAAACTCTCTGAAACCCTAAAATTTGTATAAACTTCATAAAGATGCAGACTTACAACATGGGGCTGAGCTTTAAGAAAAACTAACCCTCTAGAGAAGAGCACCCTCAGTCTGATTCTAAGAATGAAAAGCAAGTCACGGTGATCGAGGAGTGAAACTTACCTCTTCCGGTGCCTGGAAGTTGAACTGTCGGGCATTCTCGTGTAGTGTTTTTGCACATGCACTAGGTATCTTTTCTACTGCCCAGAGGTGACATTTTCTTACTCAGAAAGGTTAAAACCCACCCACACTGATTATCGTACGACTTTCCAGCATCTTCTAGCTGCTGGGTAGCCTGCTGAATGACAGAGGAAGTCTCCTTTCCTAGAGGAAACACGGGCCTGGGGAGAAAGGTCTTCCCACGTGGTGGAGGGTCTACCATGGGAGGAAGACCTGCTCTCTGAGTCATTGCTTCCTGTGCACAAGTTCTGAGTTAAGCCTTTTGGCAAAATAGTCTAGAACCTAAAACAACACATTGGCAGGAAAGGGTCTGGCCCAGGCCGGGCACTGCCTTTGCTGGCTCCCCTCCGACGCTCCCTCAGCCTTCCCTGCCCTGGATCCATTCAGCGGCATTAGTCCTGTTCAGAGGACGGGTCAGGGATTCACTTGCTGAAAAATGCCTCTTGCATACTTCTTTCTCAGTGCTCTCCTCTCCACGTTTTAAGTAGATGGGCTTTTTTCTGAGGGTGCCTTCTGCTCAGAAGCTTCAGCAGCCCTACCTGAGAACTCACTGGTGGGCGGGAGAGCGCACAGAGGCCCTTCTTGCTTCACCTGGCGAAGTATTTTACAGGGAGGAATACAGCCTCCAGAATAGAATGGGCCATTGAACAGCACATGCCAAATGCTGGTTTAAGGGAGAACATTGTCAGCTGTTGCTTTGGCTTTTAAAGTCTTCATATTAGAAAGCTCGGTTTAATCAGTTTAATTGGCTCCTGACTTACTCTTTTCCCATTTGAACTTTCACTATTATCTTTTCTCCCTGAGCAAGCAGAGTTTAGTAAAATTCCATTTCTTACCTGTTGTCTTTTCCAATCCTTCTAAGTTTTCTCCAAAACTGATAGTAATGAGAATGTTTATATCTTTGGTCTCAGAACACGTTGATGAATGGGTTTCAGTGTCTTCAAGCTTTCCCATTTGTGGGTTAGACTCTACCAAAATGTAACAAATGCTGAGCTCTCACCTGTGAAGTTAATTTTGGCCTAGACCTGTGGTCGGCAAACTCATTAGTCAACAGAGCCAAATATCAACAGTACAATGATTGAAATTTCTTTTGAGAGCCAAATTTTTTAAACTTAAACTATATAGGTAGGTACATTGTTATTAACTTAATTAGGGTACTCCTAAGGCATAGGAAGAGCCACACTGAAGGGGCCAAAGAGCCGCATGTGGCTCGCGAGCCGCAGTTTGCCGACCATGGGCCTTGACGACAGCTTTCCCATGAAGTCTGCTTTAAAACGAAGAATACTGCCCCTGCCCAGGGAACCTCAGCTATATGGGGCAGGTGGGGGCTTGTGAATACTCTTGTAACATGTTAGAGGGGGCACAGCTGCTTGTCCTAAAACATGTATATGTATCCAGAATGTGCATGTTAACATTCACATTTTACCTTTTTGTCCTCTCTCTTACCTCTCTTCTCAATTTCATAGGGTGATATCCATGAGGATTTTTGCAGCGTTTGCAGAAAAAGTGGTCAGTTGCTGATGTGTGACACGTGTTCCCGTGTGTATCATCTGGACTGCTTAGACCCTCCTCTGAAAACGATTCCCAAGGGCATGTGGATCTGTCCCAGATGTCAGGACCAGGTAGGGGGACAGTGGTCAGACAGAGGGCGGGACCAAGGAGGAGCAAGATAACATGGTCAGGTCTTCCTTCCCCTATGATCTGGGGGATGGCAGTCTCTGCCCTTCCCAGTTCTCAGGCCATGTGAGCCCTGTTGACAGCAGAGCACTCGCCTGCCAGCTTCCCTCCCCTCAGAGACATTCTGTCATATTCGTGAGGCAGTGACTCGGTGTGCTGGTGGAGAGACCCTGATAGCTTCCCTTTATGTGAAATGACTTATTACCTTGACCCTAAAAGTCCATAAGACTTTCTGCCTCATTCTCTAAGAATGGTACAAACCTAGTATATGTTTTTGAAACTCTATATTGAAAATAAAATTCTTTTTTGTTTGTTTGTTTGTTTTTGTTAATCCTCACCTGAGGATATATTTTCCATTGCTTTTCAGAGAGAGTGGAAGGGAAGGAGAGGAGGAGGAGGAGGAGAGAGACATTGATGGGAGAGAGACACATTGACTGGTTGCCTCCTGCACACTCCCCAGCCAGGGGTAAGGAGCAAACCGCAACCCAGGTACATGCTGTTGACAGGGAATCAAACCTACGACCCGTCAGTGCCTAGGCCAGTGCTCTAAACACTGAGGCACGGGCCAGTACTTTCTTAAATGAAAGTATTCAATCGGTTGTTTCATTTAAATAATAGCTTCACTTTTAACCTATGTTGTCATCAGGATCAGAGAACTAACTGTACAGTGGTATCAATATTCCATGGACTTGAAAGGCAAGCACAGAATCATGCGCTACTTAACGACAGGGATACATTCTGAAAAATGTGTCATTAGATGATTTGTCCTTGCGAGGGTATCACAGAGCGCATGTACACACACCTAGACGGTAACCTGCTGCACACCTAGTCCAGCCTATTGCCCCTGGGCTACAAGCCTCTATGTCTCATTACAAACAACACGAGATTAAGTCAAGCACAAGAGAAAATGATGCAATCGAGAGACACAGTTCACATGAGATGTATGAGGCTGTAGCCAGCGTAGCACAGAATATTGCTTTACAACAAACTTCCTGTTTTTAATCAATAGAACTGTATACTCTGAAATAAAAAGTATAGTATAGCAAATACATAAACAGTAGCATAGTTGTCTGTTATCATTATCAAGTACTATGTACTGTGCATAACTGTATGTGTGATATGTGTATGACTGGCAGTGCAGTAGGTTTGTTACACCAGCAGCACCACGAACACATGTGTTCTATGATGTTATTAGGCCATAGGAATTTTTTGGCTCCATTATAATCCTATGGGCCCACGTAGTATATGTGGTCGGTCATTGATCAAAGCATTGTACGGCACATGACTGTATGGTTAGCTACCCCAGCTTTCCCTCCTCTGCTTAGTTTCTGATTTCTTTTTCTCACATACCCATGTATCTTAATGTTTTTATTATAGGTGGTCTCATGTCGCTTTTTTAGAAGTAGGCAAAGTATAAACAACTAAGGTCAGTAGCTCAGCAGACATTGGGATGCTGCTCAGGTCTTTGGAATCTGGTCTGAGAGACTTCTGGTTTTTCCCCTTTTAACCTTGGTCCTCTTCCTGCTGTCGCGTGATGTAGTTATAGGGACAGTTCTCTCCTTGTTCCCTTCCAGTTGCTGCTTTGTGACCCTCTGATCATTTGCCACATGGGGTCTGGAGTATATGTGGTATCAGAGCTGAGACGTCATTCCCTTGGCCAGGCTGCCTTCCAGGGGCATGGAGCTAAAACTGAGATAGGCAGCCCGTGTCGGGTCAGGGACGAAGCTGCCCATGGCTGCGGCCACAGTGCCGACCTGCCGCTTATGCTCGTGGTTCTGCCTGTGGGACTCGTCAGGAGCCTGTGACACGGGTGAAAAGATAGGAGTGCCCAGCTTCCTTCTCACTCAGGGCTCAAGTAGCTTGGCTGTCCCTGCTTTGTACCTCATTCTCTCAGGCTGGTACCTGGAACTTTACAGTCCAGAAACTGTAGAACAGCATTTTGCACCGCTGCCCTCATAATCCCGCCTGGATTTTTATCTGCCCATAGCTGCAGACACCCTTGCTGGTCATTACACAGGGGACGTGTGTTTACCTCCTTCTCAAGGTAAAATTCTAAACATCTTTTCAGATGCTGAAGAAGGAAGAAGCAATCCCGTGGCCTGGAACTTTGGCCATTGTCCATTCCTACATCGCCTACAAAGCAGGTAAAGAGTTACCCGTACGCTCTTGTGTCATCTTCCCTTGTTTAAAAAAACAAAAAAGGTACTGGAAGTAAGTATTTGCTTTGTTTTAAAAAGGAAATTTAACGTTAAAAATGAAAAGCTTCTAGTGAATGAAGTGGAAGACTGTGTAGCACTTTCTTGGGAGGAAGAATGAGAAGTAGATCTTGTTCATATGAAGCCAGGCTGAAGCCCCTGACCATCTTCCTAGCAAGTCTGTGCACAGAAAGGGGAAGAGGGCCCTGTGCACTGGCTGGGGGCTCGGGGAACTTTGGGGAGAATATCTTCTTTGGCAAACATTCTGAACACTGGCCTTTTCAAAGAATTTATTGTTAAAATCAGTTCTTTTTTTTTTTTCAGCTAAAGAAGAAGAGAAACAGAAGTTACTTAAATGGAGTTCAGATTTAAAACAGGAACGAGAACAGCTAGAGCAGAAGGTGAAACAGCTCAGCAGTTCTATAAGTGTAAGTGAGCCTCCTGCCTTCGGCGATAAAGCAGACAGAGCTTCCCATGCACATCGCAGCTCCTATGGCTCCCAGGGCTGGTTCCAGTCCTTTAGCTCTTAACACAGCTGACTTGGGCAGATGGAAAGCTTGCCTCCAGTTAGAGTTGGCCCTCAGGTACAGGGGGCCCGTTGGTATATGGTGCCTTAGCCACGCTCTGGAACAGCCTCTTGGTTTTGGTCTGAGAGCAAGCATTTTCAGTCTCCTGGCCGCAGAGGTAGATTAGAAGCTGCAGCCGTGTAGCCACCACCCCTGTGCGTCCTAAGCATGTTTGGGGGGAGTGTGGAGCCTGACCTGACAACAGACGGGTGCAGACCAGCCCCGCATCTGCGTCTTTCTAGTCGCCCAAGCTAGTGAGTCCGCCACACGGCCCGTCTCTTCCACTCTTTCTTCCCCACCGTGCTGTTTGCGTTTCCAGGTTTTCCTGACCAGCCTGAGGAAGAGGGGTTTCTAGAGACAAGTTTGGAAGTAAATACTGCCCAGCCTGCCGTGTCCAGGTGGGAACGAGAGTTGTACTTGTAACCGAGATTCAGAGGCTCCTCCCGACGGGCAGGTTCTTTCCCGCGGAGTAGGTGCCTGTCGGAGTGAGGTGGCCTCGGCCCTCAGACACTGGGTGGTGTCCCGGACCTGGTGACGGTTGAGCTGTCCCACTCACCTGCTTTCGTCCCTCCCCACCATCCTACCCATGGCATGCAGGTCTCACTTCTCTTTCCCTGCGTAGCGCAGAAGCCAACAGGTGTGAGAGGCTGAGGGCAAAAGACTACAGGTGACGAGCAGGAGGGGTTCTGTTGGCTGAAGTCTGGTTCTTCTAACATCGCTGTCCCGCCCAGGCTCTGCCTCTGAGTTCTTGCCGACCGAGTGATCCTCGGGAGGCCCTCCGGTTGAACACAGACACCCCTGGCTTGTTTTCTACCCTGAAAAGCTCAGTCCGGTCCTGACCATGTTAGCACCGGCAGCGCGGTGCAAACACCCGCCCAAACCAGCTTCCGCGCGGCTGTGGGAACTTTGTTCTTGTTGTTTTTAATTCTTACCTGAGGATGTTTTTATTGATTTTAGAGAGGAAGGGAGAGGGAGAGAGAAATACCAACTGGTTGCCTCCTATATGCTTCCTGACAAGGGATTGAACCCACAAGCTGGGTATGTGCCCTGACTGGGAATCAAACCTGCGATCCCCCCATGCTCTAACACATTGAGCCACACCGGCCAGGCGGAATTGTGTTTTTAAAATTACTTATTTCATAGTATTCGAGCAGTCATTCACCTTTGGTTTTAAGTCCCAGTGTCAAGTAGAATTGGCTTTTAAACCACTCGTTTGCCCTCTGTCTCTTGCCTCTGGGGCCTCCTCCTTCCTTGGGTGGTGGCTCCCATTCCTGTGGAGCAGAACAGGTCCCGGGCTGCACTCTAACCAGCGAGGATCCTTCCACCTGCAGAGGCTGGCAGGCCTGGCGGCAAAGCCACAGGCTCAGTGCCACCGCCCTTCTCGTTTGCTGCAGAAATGCATGGAAATGAAGAACACCATCCTGGCCCGGCAGAAGGAGATGCACAGCTCCCTGGAGAAGGTGAAGCAGCTGATCCGCCTCATCCACGGCATCGACCTCTCCAAACCCGTAGACTCTGAGGCCACTGTGGGGGCCATCTCCAACGGCCCGGACTGCACCCCCCCTGCCAACGCCGCCACCTCCACGCCAGCCCCCTCCCCGTCCTCGCAGAGCTGCACAGTGAACTGTAACCAGGGGGAAGAGACTAAATAACAGAGCCCTGCCAGGAGAAGCCACGGGATCCCGGCGGCGAGGAGAGCAAAACACTGAAGACTCTAGAAAAGCAAAGCCGGATTTCTTCTGGAAAGTACAGAATTCTTTTGGTTCTTTGGTTCCAGAGAGAGAGAAGATGCTTGTGCCAGGTGGCACCAGAGTTTGCCAATTGATCCTTCTTATTCTGTGTGTACATGCAAAGATTGGACCATGTTACATGAAATAGTGCCAGCTGGAGGTTCTTTGCCAGCACCATGCCAAGTGAAATAATATATTTACTCTCTCTATTATACACCAGTGTGTGCCTGCAGCAGCCTCCACAGCCACGATGGGTTTGTTTTTGTTTTGTTGGGTGGGGAGCAGGGACGGGCGGAGGGAGGAGAGCAGGTTTCAGATCCTTATTTGCCGAGCCGTTTGTTTAGGTAGAGAAGACAAGTCCAAAGAGTGTGTGGGCTTTTCCTGTTTCTAAACTTTCACTACTTAAAACCAAAAAAAGGAAATCGAGATTTCACCAACCCCAGTGCCCAGAGGAGGGATGGGGAGGGAATGGGAGGGAGCCGGGGTGGGAAAAGTATATCAAATAAGCAGTATTTCTTATCGTGTGTGGTGGGCCACAGTGTGCGGAGAGATGGGCACCAAGGACGGCCGTCGGGTTCTCTGAGCACGCGCTTCCCCGCCGTGGGCGCCCCACCGCTCCCCAGGTTCCTTCCCTGCTCTGGCAAATGGGCGCGCGCCCCGTGGATGGTGGGTCCCTTCCCTCTCCAAGAACAAGCAGAGCCAGGCTCGGTCAGCCCTTGCCCAGGGCAGGGAAGAAGGGTGTGTGTGTCGAGGAAGGAAAAAAGGTGGATCAGTGATTTTACTTGAAAACAAGCTCCATCCCCTTTCTATATTTATAAAAGAAGATCCTGAGCGTAGCAGCACACGACCAGGTGTGTGTGGATTGAATGGAGACGTCTCTCTTTTTCTTTTTTTAATTTTTGTTCTTTATTTTCTTTTTTAAAAAGTTTTATTTTATTGTTTCTTTTACTTTTTTGGTAACAAAAACTAAAATAAGGAATAGAAAAGCTGTTTTTCAGGCTGACAGTCCAGTTAAGGGTAGTCGAGACCTTGCATGGTAGAATAGGAGCCATAGTGTCAGTGAGGTCCAGTGAGTCTGTGTGAGTCCTTGTGTCATCGTCGGGGCACTGTTTTTTATGCAAGGGCAAAATCTTTGTATCCGGGGAAAACAACAACTTTTTTTTAAATTAAAAAAGAAAAATAAAAGATATTGAGGTCTTCCTAGTGTTACTTAAATTAAGATCAAGGTAAGAAACATTGTAAAAAAAAATTACAAAAGTGCTATTTGTTTCCTAAAAACAGTGATTTCTATTAAAAAAGGTGTCAGAACTGGAGAAAATGCTGTGTAGTTATAATTTTTTAGCACAGAACCTGCTGATCATGATGCCATTTTGCTGTGTTTGTGTCTCAAGACTGGTGGGCTAGTCTCCATGATTTCTGACCTGGGATGGCTGCCGGCCTGCCGGGCAGGGGCGGAGCTCTCCTACCATCCCCTCCTCAGAGAAGACTGCCCTCTCTTCTTGGTGCAGGGATCTGGGCTCCTGTTTTTGAAGCCCAAATGGAGTGTGGATCGTATCGAGGTCCTACCCACTATCCCCACAGATTTTGCTAGAGCAAAAGGCTGGTGCCTAAATAAGATCCCTTCCTTTGGTGCTGCTCTTGGTCTTTCAGCCACCAGCATTTCGAGTGCCTGGGGGACAGCTTGGAAGGAAATGGCCAGGGAAGCTCATTGGTGCCTATGCACCCCAGCCCTCTGGGAGGGGGCAGGGGGCAGGCTGGCTGCATCAGCCCTTGGTGCTTAGAAAGAACAAAGGAATGCGGTTTCTCAAGGTTGCATGGTGTGTCAGAGCCAGAGCCCCAGGGTGGCCTTTGCATCTGTCTTGCCTTTGAAGAGAGGTCTAAATGTCCAGCCCCTTTCTCTGCCTGCTGGCTCCAGGCACCGGAGATGGACTTCACTCCACTTTGCCCACCCACAAGCTTCCTGGGTAACCTTTGGCCACAATCTCTGTGCTTGCCTTGGCTGGCTTATCTCCTTAAAAACCAGGGTTCTGAAAGGCTCGGACATTTCTGTCGTCTTGCCTGTGGAAAATAAATTTTGCCAGGTGTGTGCTCCGGCTGGAGTTTTGGCCCAGCAGGAGGGAGGCAGAGGCCCGTGCACCACAAGCCCTCCCAAAGCCCCTCCCCCAACCCCACCCTGTGCTTCTTACTGGCCAGAGTCTAGGAGGGGCAGGAAAGGTCCCATTAACTTCTCCCTCATCCAGTTAGACCCAGAGACAAAGATGGATCCTGAGAGCAAACACAACAGAGAGACACTTCTTAGGTGAAATGTCTCACCTCCACCAGCGATTTTCATCCATCTTCCAAGGAGGTCCCAGGAGGGACTCCGAGGCAGGACTGAGAGGTTGCCTGAGGGGGATGGAGAGGAGCTCCCTTTCCTCATGCAGAAACCAAGGTGCTATGTCTCGTCAGGGAGTTTAGGAAGTGCCTGGACTAGTTGGAGGAATAGCTGGCGGAGGTTCAGAGCCCAGCGCCAGGCTTAACCCCCCCCTCCGCGCCCCCCCCCCCCAATTGGGGCCCTCCCATTCGACTTGTCTGGGCCCAGAAGCTGGGAAACCATCATCACAGAGGCCTCGCTCAGGAAGGAGCTGCCTGAGGATTGGGTGGGGGCAGGACTGGGAATTGGCGGGTGCTTTGCCTGCTGCTGTGAGCAGTCCCACTGACTGTGCCTCGGGTTGGGGTGTAGATTCTTCCTGAGGTTCAGATGTGAGCCATGTGGGGAGTCAGCCAGTATAGAGTACAAAAATGCAACCCTGCCCAAGCCCCCATTCTGGACTGAAATGTTAAGACACCCCTTACTGCAAAGAAAACGCCCTAGTCACCCAGTCTCCTCTTCCTCTCTGTCCCCCAGGCCCGTGGTGCCTGTGACCACCTGAGAGACGCACTCATGACTGCCCCACCGGAACGGCTCCGCCTCCTCCTCCCTCCTCCCCTTCGTTCCCCACACCTGAGCTGCTGGATACTTCTGAGACCAGCTGGCTTTGTAGTCACTTTAGAGGCCAGGGACCCGCTGGTCTGGGACCAGGTAGCTGCCCACCTGGCCCTTGATCATGGGGCCCATTGTTAGTCCTGTGGTTCGGCGCTGTGTCCTGGAGGCAATGAGGTCATGTTGTTGTCATCTTCCCGCTCAGCTCACTTTCTTGCCAATGTGGCCTGCAGGTCCTTTTTCTTTCATGGAGCCTGCCCGGTCTTGTCTCCCCTCTGCTGAGCTCATCCGGAGTTCTGCTTTCTTCCTTCCTTATCAGGCCCTTGGGGCAAACCTGCTGGTTGCGCCTGGCAGGGAGGCCTGCAAATGGCCATGGCAGCCTCCAGCCGGCAGCATCTGAATGCCCGGTTTCCCTCCAGGAACTGCCTCTCCGGTCCCTGCTGCTGCTTGGCTCAGCAGGTGGCATGAATGGGTGCAGTTGCTTCCCCCATGCCTCTCCCATGAGGAGGACCGTTTCTGCTCACCTGTCTGAGTGCACTTGCCTCTCTGCCATCTCCTATTCTTCCTCTCTGGGGCCAGCAGAGCCTCCTTGGGCTCTCGCTCCCAACTCACACAACACACCCTAAGTGGTTTCCTCCCTTCACTGCCTCTCAGGGTGTGGTCTTCTTATTTCCCAAGGGCTTCATAGGAGACTTTCACTCCAGGGGCAAAAGGCTCTTGGGGTGGTAAGATGGATGGTGGCCCAGGAACATTTTCCAGGCCCTGGGTTCTCAATTCCATGGCCTCGGTTGGACAGAGGCAGCTGTGCTCTGTGGACATGACTGGGCCTCACCCCACCCCTCAGCTGGGCACCGTTGGCAGGAAACAGGAGGCCCATTCTCACCCTGACTCACAGCCATCCTCAGTGTCAGCGCCTGGCCAAGCAGGGAGGGTGGCCGGAGAAGACAACTGACCCTCCCACAAATGTGAAGGGGAGGAAGCTGGGAGTTACACCCTGCCTGGAACTGGGGCGGAACTCTTAAAAACAGCCCTTTTCAAGGGAGAGCAGGGTTCACCAATCCCATGGGCTCGCCCTTTCCACAAGGCCCTCTTGAACCCCGAGGACACCCTGTCCCGCACCGCAGCCTTTGGCCCCTGCCCTCCCAGTGTCGTTGGGTCTCAGCCCAGGGTAAGCTGCAGCCAGGAGGACAGAACAGGCAGCCAGAGGTCAGCACGCTCTGAGCAGAAGAGCCAGCCCCCACCTGTCTTTGTCCACACCCTTTGTGATCTCAGTCTTGGTAGAACTTGTATTTGGAGTTTTGTGCTTCAAAGTTTTTGTTTGTTTGATTTTTGTTTTGAGGGGGTGGGGGGGATTCAGAGCAGCTGATCAATTTGTATTTATTTATTTTAACATTTTACTAAATAAAGCCAAATAAAGTCTCTCAGCCTCATGGTGTTGGGTTTGGGGCCAGGGAGGGAGGGCAAGACACACTCCAGTCACAGCCTCTGGGGGAGGCCGGGCCCTCCTATGACTCCAGCAAGACTCGGGACCTCCCAGGCACTCCCTGGGCTCATGGATGCCCTCATGCCCCAAACCAAGAAGAACATAAAACAGAGCTTTTAAAACATTAATTATGAAAAAGAGGTGTACAGTTGAGGAGGGGGGAACCAGCCCCAAACCAGCTGGGGCAGAGGGAGAATAGACCCCAGCAACCGAGCAGCAAAGGGAGGCCCCAGGCCCCACCCCAGATGCTCCACTGCGGCCCTTCCCACAGACCTTAAATAATTTAAATAACGGAGTGAGTGAGAGCCAAGGCCAGGGGCAGCGGAGAGCCACACAGGCCCAGCCTTGGGAGGTCAGGGAGCCTCAGGCTGCTGCAGGGCAGTGAGGTATTTGAGGGCAGCAGCCCCATAGTGGCGGGACAAGTCCTGGAGGAACTCATCCTTAAGGGCCTGCAGGCAGTCTCGATAGGTGGTGCTGGAGCGGAAGCGGGAGATGTCGAGACTTGGGGTGTGTGGCAGGTGGATGGTGAAGGCCTCTGGCAGCACCAGGAACTCGTATTCCTGCAAGGGTAGGGCAGAGCAATGGTCAGTGCCTGGGCTGGGGGATGGGGAGCAGGCTTACCCAAGAGGCTCTAAGAGCCAAAGCCAGGCCAAAGGGCGGATAATTGTAGTTCTACAGAAGGGTGGGACTTCCTGTAGTGCTGCCTAATGAGGCAGTGTGCCACGCTGAGACACGGTGAGCTCCCCGGGCCTAGAGGTATTTAAACCGCAGCTGGAGACATTAAGGATCCCCCTCACCTGTGCATCCAGCTCCATGATGTGGGCCACCTTGTTCCAACCAAAGCCCACAAAGCGGGGGTCATAGCGGGGACAGTCACGGGGTACCACCACATAGGGCTCATAGTCCACAGCCCATTGCACACGGTATGGGGCCTGAGCCTCCCGCCAGCGGGCATAGTCTGTGGGCGCGTGACCCCGGGGCCACTCGTGGTACCTGTGAAGGGGGACAGGACAAGGAGCCAGGCTGAGGCTAGGAGCTTGTGGGTGGTGGGGGCTGGTGTGGGCAATGGGGACAGAGCAGTGTCCTCTCCTACCTGAAGGTGTAGACAGAGCCAGAGTCTAGCAAGGCCAGCAGTTCAGCCTTGGAAGTGGGGAAGCTGAACTGGTAGTGCAGGGTCTCGAATGCTGGCACCACCAGGGCTGCCTTCCGCCTGCTGCCCAGCTCCAGCTGCTCAATGGAGGCCCTGAGGAGGCAGCACCGTGAAGGAGGGACGGCTCTGCCTCTAGCATGGGCCAGTGATTCTCCTGCTTTCGTTAGCCAGGGGCCCGACTCTTATAGGCTAGCTCACCCTGACACCCACTAGCAGACAGACGTGAGTGGGACTGCTGTGGGAAGCAGCCCAACCCCACCCCACCCCCTGCCTCTCCTATGGCAGCCCAGAGAGAAAGTGTGACCCCAGCACTAATACAAACCCCATTCTACAGAGAACACTGAGGCCCAGAAAGGAGCAGGGATTCACTCGCCTAGGGTTCTGATCCCAACCATGTACCCCATCCACCTGAGGTAGTCGTAGAGGGAGTAGGCAGGCAGGAAGTCAATGTCGCTGAGGAAAACATAAGGCGTGAGGGCCTGGGCCAAGGCCACGTTGCGAATCTGGTTGATGGGGTAGAGGGGACCCTCACGGTACACCACGTGGTAGGCCACATCCTGCCGGGCAGAGAGCACCTCCGAGGCCGCGACGAAACGCAGGAACTGCTGGGCTTCTGCGTCTGTCAGATACAAGGCCAGGCTCATGGGGCCCGGCCAGTGCCTGCACAGAGCCTCCAGCATCTGCAGCCTGGGGTGAGGCGGGTGGTCAGCCAGGGAGGGCTGGAATACCTCCCAGGTCAGCTGCTACGGACACCCCTTCCAAGCACTTTTTGAGCTGGTCTTACTTAATCTTCACAATTACCCCACCAGGTGGGTCATTCTCATTGGACAGATGAGAAAACCGCGGGCAGATATTAAGACCTGCCCATGGTCCCACAGCTACAGAGGAGCGTCCCCAGCCGTCTGAGTGATTCCCAACAGCACGGGCCAAGCCCCACCCCAAGCCCATGCTCTTTCCACCTTATCCTGTGTTTCCACCTTCGGGAACTCCTGAAGTGCCACGCCCTGAGAGCTCTTCCTTCTACCAAATGCCACCTGCCTCTCAAATGCCCAGTCCCAGCCCACGCCATGCTCTCTGGGGCTGCCTTCCGCATCCTCACCGGTCCATGGAGAGCTGAGCCACAAGGGTGACATCGTGGGGCCGGGGAGGCGGTGGCTCATGGGGCAAGAACGTGATGTGCACACGGTGCACAGTGAGCTGCTGCTGCCGGAACTCAAAGCAGGCATCTTCCTCGTTGAGTTGTGCCAGGGCCTGCTGCAGCTGAGGGGGTCGAGGGCAGAAGGACCAGGCTGGGGCAGGAGGACAAGTCCCCAGACCAAGCTGGGCCCCACCAGAGCAGAGAGGGACAGAATCTCCCCAAGGCCAGGGAAGGCGACTCCCTCTCACCTGCTCGGCCTCAGGCGGGCGCGGGCTGGGGCACCCAAAGAGCTCTCTCCGCAGCAGGTTCCCATCGTACTCCAGGAAGGTCAGGTAGAGGTTGCGGAAGAATTCCACATGCTTGTTCTTCACACGCAGCTTCTTCGGGGAGTTCCAGTGGATCGCCTGGGACCCGGGAGGGTATCAGTGGGGGGATGGGAGCAGGAGTCCCCATCCTTGGCCCACTACCACCACTCAGACCCTCAGCCCCGCTCACCTTGATGTCAGCCGCCTCCAAGTAACAGCGCTCAGCCAGCGTGTGGTCAGACAGCTGCACATTCCAGACACAGGGCAGGGGCTGCACCAGTGCCGGGTGCCCCTTGATTACAGCATTGAAGATGTCCTGGGCAGAGACAGCCATCTCACCTTGGCCCTGAGCCTGCCCCACCCCTACCCAGGGCTCCCCCGCCCCAGACCTGGTCGGCCAACGAGGTGGCGGGCAGGGTGAGGAGCTCCTGTGTAGCGGTCAGCTTCCACATCTGCTCCCAGCCAGCCTGCCGCAGCCGGTCCAGCCACAGGAGAATCACACCTGCCCACAGGGAGAAGAAGTCACCCCCACCTGGGACGACCCGGCTCCCAGAGCCAGGGGCATGACAGACTCTTTGGAATGTTTATGTTTTGACTTGCTGGTATTTTCTGTCAGACAGGAGCAAGGACAACCTCTATAAACACTCAATCCTCTTGGGGGTGAAGGAGAGTCACTGCACAGCTTCCAGAGCATGTCCACAACCATCCTCTCACATTCAGTGATCCGGGGGCTGGTAAAATCCCCATTTAATGGGTGAGAAAACTGAGGCACAGAGAGCCCAAGTGACTTGGCCAAAGTCATCCAGCATGTACAGCCAAGGTTGGCGCTGTCTTCTGGCTCTTCTCCCCGTGTTCTTTCTACAGCACTATTCTTCCTGGGGGCTTCCTAGCATTCTGTGCCCTGCCCAGTCCCTGGAGTCCAAGGGCCAGTGGCCACCACCACCACCACCACCACCATCCCCACCTGTGTTAAATCCCCTGCCCAAGGCAGGCCAGGGCTTGTGGTTCCTCCAGAGGTTGCCCAGGTACCAGTCGCTCTGATTCTCCACAAGACCGATCACCTGCTCGTCTGGGAGGGGAGGGCATGAGGGAGCTGCTTGAGGCTCAGGGCTAGGCCACAGGGGGGCTTGGACAGGCCAGGGAGGGGGGTTGGCTGGGGCAGGTCCCAGGCCTCTCACCAGAAAAGTGAGCGAAGAGTGCCCAGAGCTCTGCAATGTCGGAGGCGAAGGTGACATCTGTGTCCAGGACAATAACCCGGGCCAGGTCAGGAGGCAGGGCACCGGGCAGCACTAGCTTCATTAGCCCGTAGAGGCCAGAGTAATGCTTGTTGGGGATCCAGGAGACCTGGGGCTGTGGGTGGGAAGGGCAGGGCATGAGCCTGGCAGAGAAGAGCCCATGAGCATCAGAACATACTCAGTGTGACACAAGGAAAAGAAGGCGTGAGCGCCGGGAGGGGTGAGGGATTTGAGCTTGGGTAGGTGTGACCGAACTGTTCCAGGCAGCTCTAACCTCTCTTCTCCTCCCCCCAGGCCCTGGGAGGAAGGGGAGAGGGGAAGGCTGGGGAGGAGGAGAAGGGCCAGGGCTCCTGCCTTGAGCTCATTGGCGTCATAGAAGCTGACACGGACAGCGGGCACCATCCATGTGTGAAAGAGCGTCTCCAGAATGTTCCTGGCCACGGCATCGGTCACCAAGTGGAGGTGCAGTGGGTTTTTCCTTTGGGAGGGACAGGGGAGGAAGG